AAGCCAGGTGAGCCGACACCTTCCAGGTGTGAGCTTGAGCTGCAGGTGACGGGGTGGATGCTGTGTGGGGTTCACCTCAGTGGTATGTTGGGGTGCTCTGTCAGGGATGTGATGCTGTGTTTTCTGGGGGGGTGCACGTGTCGTGTGTACATCAGCAGGCTCTGTTGTTGTAAAGGTGACATCAGCAGCACTGTGTCAGGGGGCTGCACGCTGCATGCTGTTAAGTTGTATGCGGCTGGGCACACAGCTGGGGCTCCATACTGGGGCACACATTGTCTTTGCAAATGTGATTAAGGATCTTGAAGTGGGGTCCTCTTGGATAATACTTCTAAGACACACAGGTAAGGACGGACCATGGGAAGATGGGGTGTCACCAGAGGCAGGGAGCAGAGGTCACCGGAAGATGGGGTGTCTCAGAAGGACAGGAGCAGAGCCACGGGAAGACGGGGTATCATCAGAGGCAGGGACAGGGAGAAGAGGTGACGGAAGGATGGGTGTGGCTGAGAGAACACACAGATGTGGACAGACTGCTTAAGAGAGGAGACCTGACCCCTGCTAACAAGCTGACTGCAGCGTGCATGCGCCAGGTCTGCACGGCCAAGGCCAACCTGAAGGCAGGTGATCTGAATCCACCAGCTGCTCCTCAGGACAAAGACGGAAAATCTCCTGGGAAACCTGCAACCTCTAAAAGGCCACTGCAGGGCCAGCTCTGACTTGATGCTGAGTCAATGACATGGAACAAGAACCACACGTGCTTAAGACACGGAGAGGGCCCTGCAGGTTGGCCAGGCACTGGGTGAGGCCAAGGCCCCTCAGTGTCTAAGCTATGAGGTGTGGTTGTGTGTAGCTTATGTTTAAGTGTCTTCAACTTTGCGAAAGATCCACTGAATTACTTACCGTGAAGTCACAGAATGTGCGGCGTTGATTAGCAGCTGCGCCGGGGGACTCTTGGACTAGTGTCCACTACCTTACAGGCTTGACCTTCTGTAACCTCCCGACCGTGACGTCAGTGGACGCTTAGAGCCGAGCAGCAGACTTCAACCGTTCACCCAATGGGTTACCACCCCTCGGTGCAGGGGCGCACCAGCATCTTCTGCCCTGAGAAGCCCCTGGTGCTCCTCCTCCTGTACCCCTTCCTGGCCTCGGACCTTCATCCCTGGACCCTGTGAGGGGCCTGCTTTCCCGGGATGCTTGCTGGATTGCTGTGGTCTGTACCGAACCCGGGGGACCCGCCACACCCGTGACCTGGTCACTTTCCTGTGCCAGCCACCGTGTCCCCACAGCAGCGCCGCCCCCCAGTCCCCACCAAGCACCTGAGGCCGAGTCTTTCAATCAGGAGACTTTTAATCAACGTCAGAGACGCGATGACACGCGCCCGGGACAGTGAGAATTCAAACCACAGTGTTGGTGCCGCCCAGGGCTCGACCGCTCAGGGCAGCACATCTTAGCCAAACAGCATCAAAAAGGAACTGAAAAATCAACGCTGCGGGCCAAGGGGCTCCGGAGCCCGCGCCGCTGACGCTCACCCAGAAAAGGAAAGGGCACACGCCAGCCCCCCGATGCTCCGAGGCAGCCGGGGGCAGGCTCTGGGGTGCGGCGCCCCATAAATACAATAAGCTCTGGTATCAGAAGGTCACAAGTGCTGGATAAACTTTGTTTCCTTAATATGACAAATGTTAACGTAGTCCTGTTTGCTTTTCTTACAATAAAAAGTACAATTTCTTAAGAATAAGTTTAAGAACACGCAAAACACCTCCCGCCATTCTCTCTCAAGGTTCCGAGTTACCGAAAAGGGCCCACCCTTGTCATATGCAAATGTCAGGAGGGGGAAAGGCATTTGCCTTCCTTCCCCAAAGCTGCCGAGGGTGGCGTGCAAAATCTGTGTACAATATGAGGACATGCCGATCCAGTTCATGCAGCCTCCACAAGTAGGGAACTTAAAAAAATATAGTCATATATATTTATGTATAGATATTTATATATGTATCAATGCCCATCAAACACGAGGGCCCAAAAGTCTACAAAAAAGAAGACTGGAATGAGGACACGGACCGAGACCATAAAAAAAAGGACTGTTCCCACCGAAAGAACAAGAATGAGAGGTGCCCGTGGTCCAATCCAATTGGGAGGGGCACCCGGAAGTGCCCATCGCTGCAACAGTGGATTTTGTTTTAAAGGAAAGAAAATTGAAACACTCTGCTAAGTGGCCCTTCCAAATCAGAGCCCTGCAGTGCCAGAGGGCCAGTCCGGCGGGCAGCAGGGCAGGCGGGCCTCGGTGCCCGGTGTCCCTCCAGGGGATAAAGTGCTCACTCGCTGACCCCCAGGCCAGAGCCCTGAAAGAAGAAAAAAAAGGCTGACGGCCACACGCACCAGGGGGAACTGGCTTCCCTCCTGCTGGCCCAGAGGGCAGACGCCAGGGACAGACACATGTGTCTTCAAAAGAAAACAAAGGCTACATGGTAATGCTTTAAACAGGCTTTGAGGGGCTGGAGTGGACCACAGAGAAACAGCCCCGTCAGGCTGCTGGCTGGGAGAGACCAGAAGTCCACCCCACAGCGGTCATCACAAGAAATGAGACGACGGGCATCTCCCGAGCCCCTGCTGGCGGGATCAGGTGGCCATGGGGCACGCAGACCAGAAGAGGCAGCCGGCTGAGCCCTGCCACTCAGCGTGGTGGGTAGAGCTGAGTGCCTGGAACTGAGGGCCGGCGTGTGGGGAAGAGTCAGGTACACTCGCCATGTGCCCCTCAGTGTCGGACCACGGTGCACCCCGTCATCTGCACATCTCTGGGCTGAGTTCCAGCAAGCAACAGAAACCGCTGTACCAACTTCCCCAAAGCCACTGCTGCCCGGGATGTGTCCTTCAGGGAGCATGGGTGCCTGGCCTCCCTCCCACAGGGCTGGGCTCAGTCCACTTGGAAACGAGACCACAGCCTCAGGTGCTGGAGAGCATAAGATACAGTAAAAAAGAGCCCGTCCCCAAGAAGAGGAAGAGGAGCAGGGCTGTGCTGGCCAGTGGGCTGTGCTGGCCGGTGGGCTGTGCCGTCCCTCCAGGGACACGGGGCAGCGACCGTGGGCTCGCAGGGGGGTAACTCGGCCTGTGACGGCCATGCTCCAGTCACATGCATTGCTGACATGCTGAAAAGGTCTTTGGAAAACCCAAGTTCAAGTTCTAAACTGAGAGTGTGGTTAGGGGCATAGAAAAGTTAAGTCACTAAAGCGGACTGGCCACACACTCCCACGGCCTTCGGCTGCCAGTAGAGGCCCTGGCAGCAATGTGCCAAGCGGACCAGTGCCCTGGGACAGCTACATGGAGGCCCGTGACCCTGCCGGCCACTCGGCCTCAGTCTGAAAACGGGCAGCTCTCTGCTCGTTGGACAAAACAAAAACAGAAACAAAGTGATCGTCATAAAAAAACCAACTCTGAAGATTGAAACCAACAAACAAAGAAAAATGTACAAGTCAGAATTGAAAAAGGAAAGGAAAAAAATGGCCTTTACGCCATGACCAGAAAACCGCTGAACGGTGAAAAAATATGTCAAATTCACAAAACAATGCGTATTCAGGATCTTTTGGTGAAAAATTCATACAAAAATCAACAAAAAATTTATATCCTTTGCTATAAAAACTCATTAGGTGCGTTATGTGCACGGAGGTCAGGCCAGGAGACAGGGCCTCGTAGAAAAACAATGAAAACAAAAAGTACAAACGTGGAGGGTAGTTGCCCGGTGGTGTACGTGTTGGTGATCTGAGAAGCTATCCAATCGAGCTAAAAAATATGTGCGTTTCAAACCAGATCCCTTTCCGTAAGCACCTTTGTATTTAAATTTGCAAGTCGGTCAGTCACCAGGGGCCTTTGTAACCTGCACTTCTTTCATATATATGTGTGTGTATATATATATATATATTTATATTTTTATATTTACTTCTTTCTCTATAAATGCATTATAAATATTTTATCAAGATTTCATAAGAATCAAGTTTCTTAGTTTGGAATACACTGGAATATATATTATACATATGTGTGTATATATATATATATATATATACATACACATACATACATATACATATATATATATTTATACCTAAGGTTTAAGCAATACTTCATGCTACTTGCTTTTCATAAAAAGCGTTCCGGTGGAAACACTGCAGAGTGCCTGGGACATGCTTGACAATCAGATGGGGGTACTCCACTACACGTGACGTGAGAGAAAGAAGACTTTGGATTCATTCAAATTTGTTGCATTTCAAACCCCACCAGGATCAGCCACAGTTGTTTTTGAGCAACTACCTGCATTTCTTGAACAGCAATAGTGAGGCGAGGGCTCCCGGCGGCCCGTCCTGGAAGTGCGGGCGGCTGCTCCTCACCGGACACTGCGGGGCCTCACGGCCGGGGACAGTGCCCCGACTCCGGCTGGTCAGTTTTTAAGGCATTGTTCCTCAGACTTCAGAAAACCCAGCCACACAAATCCACCAGAGCAATAAAAGAAAGGCACAAACTCGCATCTTCTCATGGCTTCCAGAAACCGAGCCACGCCCGGGCCCTCGCTCCTGCTTCTGTCCAGTTTTATTTGAAAGGTCCATCCACTCGGTCCCCCACCCACTGCAGCTCCCCGTGTGCCCACGGTGGCCACAAGTTGCGCCGGAGCCCTAGAAAGTGTCCTCTTAAAAAAAAAACAGAAAGGAAACCGAAGCAGGAGCCACAGGGCTGGCCGAGTGGTTGCCGTGGAGACGGAAAGCTGGTAGTCACCAGGGTTAAGCACCAGTTTGGTCAAGTCTGCTGTGTCAGATCTTGGATGTCCTCGTCCTCGTCCACTAAGTCGGGCGGGGCCCGTCGGTCCCGCGCTGGCGGCATCTGCTCGGACGAGCGGCCACACCAGCTGTGCCCGAGGCCTGCGGCCCACGCTCCGGACGCCTGGGAGGATGCAGGCGGACACGGGAAATATTCTTGGCTGAGCTTCAAGACGGAGACAGACAAACAGTAGAGGAGACTCCAGGCTACAGGGGCGGTTCCTCCTCCATGGGCTCCTCCTCGGGTCTGCGGGGTCCGGTGGGAGAGAGGCCAGCAGCGTATCACAGGCGGTGCCCACCCACACACCCCCGCGCTCTGCCCCCTGGGCTCCCTGCAGCCTCTAAGGGTGGTCATGGCCTTGAGCCGAGCTGGACTAGGGTCCAGGTGCCTGTCCCGGTCAGCTCTGTCCCCAGACCCTACACCCCTCAGGGTAATTACAGTCTCAAGCAGCAGAGCCGGACCCGGATCCAGGTGTCGGTCCTGGCCCACCCTGTCCCCAGACCCTTACAGCCCCGAGGGTGGTCACAGCCTTGAACAGAGCTGGACTAAGTGCAGGAAGCAGAGTCCATTTGCTGGGCCCTGGCCTGGGTGGGAGCGACTCACCTCTTCTCAGCAGGCTTGACACCCACGGACAGCGAGGCCATGGCGCTGACCGTCTCGGCCTCCTCGTTCTCGCACTTCTGGGCCTCCACCAGCGAGTAGCCCACAGTGGACGCGGCACGCTGCAGGGAGCGCCAGTACTTGCCTAGAGAGAAAGCAGCGGTCAGTGGGGCATGACCAAGCCCGTGACCCGCGCAGGCCCCGAGACAGCATCACTGCCCTCGGCGTGTGACGCAGGGCGCAGCTCTGACCCGAGCCGTGGCATCCGCCAGCACTTCCTGCTCCTGCCAGACAACGAAGAAGGCAGGCGAGGTTCCACTGACGCTTCTAATGAACACTGGCTGGACCCTGGACTGTCCGGAGAGCCAGTGCGACCAGGGGGCTCCTCAGACGCAAGCGTGCTACGACTGTCCATGGACTCGGGCGTGTTGCCAGGAGGGTTCATTCCCTGGATAAGGACAAACGCTGGAAAAGGCAGAGGCTGAGCTAACAGCAAAAGCTCCTCAGTGCCGGGGTGGACGCATCGGGTGGACGCACAGGATGGACGCCCGGTGAGGCGCCTGCGGGCTGGGGTGGGGCCGGGCAGGGTCCTGCTGCCCACGGTCACTGTGTGTAGAGCTGACAGACGGAGCCTCACACAGCAGCACCCCCTCCTCACGCCCCAGGCTGTGAGGTGAGAAGCCGGAGAAGCTGGCCCATGACAAACCTTTCAAGCTTGGAGATTGCTGCCCCAGAGAACGGGGCCTACGCAGGTGTGACCGGGTCCCTGCCCCTTCCTGCTGTGACCGGTCCTCGGGTCGCCCCGCATCTCCCTCTTAAACCTGTCAACCCTGAGCGGCCACATCTGCTTGGGGACGTGAGCACACATTTCTGAGCGTCTGTCAGCTCTAATCAAATCCGTTATCCTGAGTCTTCTATGTCTACGACCCGTCCCAACGCAGCACTCACTGTGGATCTCGATGACCTTCTCCATGGACCGGACGGCGTTGGCATTGGGCCGCTGCTGCAGCGTCTTCTCTGGGAGGGGGTCAAGCTGGAGGGAAGGGCATGGAGAGGTCAGTGGTGCCCCTGTGGTGAACGGGCAGTCTCCGCCAGCACCCGGATGTGGTGGACATCCACCAGAGAGGAGGCTGCCTGCACACAGAGTCCCCCAGGAGAGGCTGGCCCCTGAGGACACTCACAGGACGAACTGCCACGGGGGGGGCCTGGCCTCCCACCCTCAGGCGTGCCGTGCACAAGGAGTTGGCCAGTGTGGTGTCTAACAGAGGCTCCATGGCGTCCTGGGACAGGACGGTGGCTTCAGGGACATCTTTCCCATCTCTGGGCTTCTAAATGAAAGTACTTTGAGCTGGACCTCTTCTGACAACAGACGAGTGCCACATGGCACTAAGTCTCTCCCTGTAGTCGGGACCCTGATCCAAGCTGAGTACATGGACAAGGGGATCCAATCAGGCCCGACCCACAGAGCCCCACGTAACTGATGCTCACTCTCAGTGGGCCCCAATTAGGACCCTCAATCTAAGCTGAGTACACAGGTGAGGGGTGTGATCACGTCCACCTGACACACGCCTGACACGCACGCTCCGCCCCACGGTGCCCTCTAGGTGGTGGACCTGCTCAACGACCTGCTGTCAGAGTGCAGAGCATGTGATGGGGAGAAGACTGTGTCGGACAGAATTCTGGCCAGTGGTCCAGCCCCACATCCTCCAGGGTGAGCCATGGTGACTGCAGGCTCTGACAGCTCACCCCAGGTGGACATGGCCGCAGCTCATCCCAGGGCTCACCCCCCAGGTGGACACGGCCGCAGCTCACCC